TTCACCCACACTACACCCATACACACTGTGCTCACACCCAACACCCACAGTCACCTCACACACATTATACCCACTCTCACTGGGTGCTCACACCCCACGCCTACACTGTCTCCTCACACACACTACACCCACTCTCACTGGGTGCTCACACCCCACGCCCACACTGCCTCTTCATATACTCTACACCCACAGTGTGCTCACACCCCACTCCCACACTATTTCCTCACACACATTACACACACACTCACTGTGTGCTCACACCCCACGCCTACACTGTCTCCTCACACACACTACACCCACACTCACTGGGTGCTCACACCCCACATCCACAGTCTCTTCACCCACACTACACCCATACACACTGTGCTCACACCCAACACCCACAGTCACCTCACACACATTATACCCACTCTCACTGTGTGCTCACACCCCACGCCTACACTGTCTCCTCACACACACTACACCCACTCTCACTGGGTGCTCACACCCCACATCCACAGTCTCTTCACCCACACTACACCCATACACACTGTGCTCACACCCAACACCCACAGTCACCTCACACACATTATACCCACTCTCACTGTGTGCTCACACCCCACGCCTACACTGTCTCCTCACACACACTACACCCACTCTCACTGGGTGCTCACACCCCACATCCACAGTCTCTTCACCCACACTACACCCATACACACTGTGCTCACACCCAACACCCACAGTCACCTCACACACATTATACCCACTCTCACTGTGTGCTCACACCCCACGCCTACACTGTCTCCTCACACACACTACACCCACTCTCACTGGGTGCTCACACCCCACATCCACAGTCTCTTCACCCACACTACACCCATACACACTGTGCTCACACCCAACACCCACAGTCACCTCACACACATTATACCCACTCTCACTGGGTGCTCACACCCCACGCCTACACTGTCTCCTCACACACACTACACCCACTCTCACTGGGTGCTCACACCCCACATCCACAGTCTCTTCACCCACACTACACCCATACACACTGTGCTCACACCCAACACCCACAGTCACCTCACACACATTATACCCACTCTCACTGTGTGCTCACACCCCACGCCTACACTGTCTCCTCACACACACTACACCCACTCTCACTGGGTGCTCACACCCCACATCCACAGTCTCTTCACCCACACTACACCCATACACACTGTGCTCACACCCAACACCCACAGTCACCTCACACACATTATACCCACTCTCACTGTGTGCTCACACCCCACGCCTACACTGTCTCCTCACACACACTACACCCACTCTCACTGGGTGCTCACACCCCACATCCACAGTCTCTTCACCCACACTACACCCATACACACTGTGCTCACACCCAACACCCACAGTCACCTCACACACATTATACCCACTCTCACTGTGTGCTCACACCCCACGCCTACACTGTCTCCTCACACACACTACACCCACTCTCACTGGGTGCTCACACCCCACATCCACAGTCTCTTCACCCACACTACACCCATACACACTGTGCTCACACCCAACACCCACAGTCACCTCACACACATTATACCCACTCTCACTGTGTGCTCACACCCCACGCCTACACTGTCTCCTCACACACACTACACCCACTCTCACTGGGTGCTCACACCCCACATCCACAGTCTCTTCACCCACACTACACCCATACACACTGTGCTCACACCCAACACCCACAGTCACCTCACACACATTATACCCACTCTCACTGGGTGCTCACACCCCACGCCTACACTGTCTCCTCACACACACTACACCCACTCTCACTGGGTGCTCACACCCCACGCCCACACTGCCTCTTCATATACTCTACACCCACAGTGTGCTCACACCCCACTCCCACACTATTTCCTCACACACATTACACACACACTCACTGTGTGCTCACACCCCACGCCTACACTGTCTCCTCACACACACTACACCCACACTCACTGGGTGCTCACACCCCACATCCACAGTCTCTTCACCCACACTACACCCATACACACTGTGCTCACACCCAACACCCACAGTCACCTCACACACATTATACCCACTCTCACTGTGTGCTCACACCCCACGCCTACACTGTCTCCTCACACACACTACACCCACTCTCACTGGGTGCTCACACCCCACATCCACAGTCTCTTCACCCACACTACACCCATACACACTGTGCTCACACCCAACACCCACAGTCACCTCACACACATTATACCCACTCTCACTGGGTGCTCACACCCCACGCCTACACTGTCTCCTCACACACACTACACCCACTCTCACTGGGTGCTCACACCCCACATCCACAGTCTCTTCACCCACACTACACCCATACACACTGTGCTCACACCCAACACCCACAGTCACCTCACACACATTATACCCACTCTCACTGTGTGCTCACACCCCACGCCTACACTGTCTCCTCACACACACTACACCCACTCTCACTGGGTGCTCACACCCCACATCCACAGTCTCTTCACCCACACTACACCCATACACACTGTGCTCACACCCAACACCCACAGTCACCTCACACACATTATACCCACTCTCACTGGGTGCTCACACCCCACGCCTACACTGTCTCCTCACACACACTACACCCACTCTCACTGGGTGCTCACACCCCACGCCCACACTGCCTCTTCATACACTCTACACCCACAGTGTGCTCACACCCACTCCCACACTATTTCCTCACACACATTACACACACACTCACTGTGTGCTCACACCCCATACCTACACTGTCTCCTCACCCACATTACACCCACACTCACTGTGTGCTCACACACACCCACACAGTGTGCTCACACCCTACTCCCACACTATTTCCTCACACACATTACACCCACACTCACTGGGTGCTCACACCCCACGCCTACCCTGTCTCCTCACACACACTATACCCGCACTCACTGTGTGCTCACACACCAAACCCACACTGGCTCCTCACACACACTATCCTCTTTCTCTGTGTGCTCACATATTTCACACTCATACTGTCTCTTCCCTCACATTCTGCGTACTCCTCCATGTCCCCTCTCATATCTCACACCTCACACCCTTTAGGGTCCCCTCAGAGCCCACCCCACAGTCTCTTCTCAGATCCCCACCTTGGTTGTCTCCTCAACCACTTCACTGCACACACTGACCGTCTCACGGTTCAAGGTCTTGGCCACCCTGGGGCTCCTCACGGCCCTCATCCCTTGCTCACGCCCTCTGCTCACACTCACACTGTGCTGTTTCCTCACACACCTGACAGCTAACCTCTGCTCACCACCTCCATCACACCTCCTCAATCAGCTCGCAAACACTGCAGCCCACTCAGGCCCCACAGCCGACTGCTTCTTCCCACAGACCCCACAACTCCTCACCCGCGTCACCCCTCCTCACAGCTCCCACGGCCTCCACAGCGTCAGTGCTCAGTCCAGGTTGCGCCCAGCTCTGTGAGGCCCTTCCTTCTGCACAGAGGGGGTCTTCTGTCAACACCGCCTACACTGCTGGGACGGGATGGCCCCCAGGGACACCAGGGCCCTTTCCCTGGCAGTCTGTCAGACAATCTACACAAATCAATCAAGGCACTGGGTCAATAAGGTACTCCAATGCGCACCTGGTAGGAGGGTGTCGAGGGTCCTTTTCCCTCTTTTGAATTCCTAAGGGCACATGATGTGTAAGCCAGATGCCAGCATGGAAGAATGTGCCACATCGGTGTTCCTAGCCAATCTATGGACAATCCCGTGTCACCATGCCATCTCCCCACGGCGCACAAAGGCTGAAGGCCATGATGAGAGTGGAAACAAACACGGGACACTCCTCCCGGCCCGGCCTGGTGCTGTGTGCAGGTTAATGTGCTCCCTCGGGCGCCTCGCCCACTCACTGGTGGAACCTCAGGGGCCGTGTACTGCCCAGCTAGCAGTGACAAGTCCTCTTCTCTGGGGCTCCTCCTGCCCATCGCCCCATGTGGGGACTGCTCCCAAACCAGCTGCCCGGCTCCTCACCCCTTTCCTCCTTTCCTCTTAGGAATTTGCTCCCTTAGTTCCCACTTCAATTCTAAAGCAGCATAACCTTATGATTCCAGCCTATCCAAGCACTGAACAGCTCCTGGGCAAATGGCGCCATGTAGCATTTTTATGTTTTTCTTTTATATATGTGTGGTCTGTAACAATTTACCCATCATCTACATACACCACTAACACTCATCTGTCTTTCCATCTGGTCTGCAGACTCCCAGATTCGCACTACACTGCCCCAGGGGAAAGAGCTCAACGTCCACTGAGAGACTCGCCCCTGCCTGGAGAGGCCCACAGATTCTGTGGTGTTATTTTATTTTTTAAAGTTTCTCTTCCTTCCCCCCAAAGACAATCAAATGGAATTCATTGATTTTTCTGCTTTGCTACCTTTTGTCAGATTTTTTTTTCTTTTTTTTTTTTTACCGGTACCAGGGATCAAACTCACAACTGCATGCTTGCAAGGCAGGCGCTTATGCCGCTGAGCTAAAATCCCCAGCCCCTTTTGTCAGATTTTAAGAAACAAATTATATTAAGGTAATTTCATTGGCTAGTAGAAGTCTAGCATTTAATTTAGTTTGATTTTGTTTCATTTTACTTTATTTTAGAGTCTATCATTTTAACCTCAACCTGAGTCCACACACTACGCAGTCCTATTCACCAATTCTCTGTAATGAATTCAAGCTGGTAAAATTGACCATCAGAAAGAATGTGTCTCCCACACTTCTTACAGCCATGCTCTGGATCACAGCCAAAGAGCTCAAGGGCCAGGATGGCCTGAACTGAGGCCAGAGTAAGACCAGGGCCCCAAGTACCTCATCTGCCCTGTAGCACGGAGCAGACTGCAGGCAGGGGGCCTAGGCGGGACCAAGGGGAGCAGACACACACTGGCTGGGCTGGGCTGAGGTGGCCACCGCCAACGCCAAGAGCTGCTGCCCATCCTACCTGCTGCTGAGACAGCCCCTCGGGCATTGGTGTCAGTACAGCCTCCGGGTGCCTGCAGTCCACATCAATGAACAGGCTGTGCTCCTCCTCCAGACCAGACCTGTGGTCTTAAAATAGGTGAGATGCACAAATGTCACACGGAACCCACATGCTTACACTGGTTCACAGTACGGTGCACTAGGCCAGCTGCCAGAGAAGTCTTCTGTGTAGAATTTCCCTTCACACTCAGCTCTGATTAAATTGAAACTTTAAAAAACCCAATAGTCATTCTTCCTATAGAGGTAAGACAGTGCAGATACGTGGCAGCTTCAACACAGAAGTTTTAACTCAGGCAGAGGCATCAGGTGGATAGCCAGACAGCGGCATGGGGGGTGGGGCTCCCTCCCCACCTGTGGTGCTCAGACCGGAAACTGAGGGCTCCAGGAGATAGCTGACACCGTGAAGACTGAGGCTGTGTGTGAGACTGGGACTCTGTGTTTCCCAACTGTCCATCCTCACCTCTCCCTGGAAGTCTGAAGAGGTACTATTTTCTAAAACTCTAAAGGACGTCTGAACCAAAACTAAGTTCATTTTTAAAATCCAGATACAGCTTGGTATAGTGGCACAAACCTGAACTTTCAGCATTCTGCAAGGCCACGGTAAGAGGTTCACAAGTTCAAGCCCAGCCTGGGCAATTTACAGACAACTTGTCTCAAAACCAAATACTGAAAAATCAGCACGAGTGGTGTGGCTTGGTGTGAAGGCCTGGGTTCACAAAACAGCCACAGACAGGCGCTAAAGATTCCAGAACATGGGCCGTTATAGGCCATGGAACCTTACTCTTCTCATCGAAGACTCAGAGGCCGGCCATGCAGATGTTGGCTGCTGGCTTTGCAAGCTGCAAGAGCTCAGGCCCTCCCAGAGACTGGTGGGTACTGGGCAGTGGCTGGGCACATCCAGGACTGAGAACTATGGCCCTTGTGTACAGGCCCTGGTGTCTCAGCTCAGAGACAACGTGGTGGATCGGAGACAGCTCAGCCAGAGAGGAACAAAACTTATGCAGGGTTCCCCAGGTCGGATGCTAAGAGCCAGGTCAGTTTAGTTCCAATGGCAGAGGTCATTTGCAGCACTCTCCATGAGGAAACCTCTAAGGTGCTGCACTTCCTTGCGTGTGTGTGCCCATTCCTGGAGTGGCATCTCCAGCCTGTCTGTATTTTCTATTTGGAGACAAGGTCTTGCTAAGTTGCCCAGTCCCTCAGGCTGAATGAGCAGAGACTTGGGATCCTGCTGCCTAGGTCTCACAGTGTACTGAGGTGAAGGTTGTGTCTTCACTCCTGGCTAGCATTATTTAAAGCCATGCGTGCATCAGCACAGCTACATACAGAGTCCTGGAGTGGCTGAGATGTGGAAGGATGCACACTCACAGATCCAGTGCAGCACGCCGCAGACACAGGGCAACACATCTGTGCCAGAGGCCCCAAGGAATCCAGGATGTCCAACACACTGCCCCAGGCACAGCCCTCTATGCCTAGTAGCAGAGTGGGCCACTCTCCATCCCCAGTGAGTCAGGATGGCTGATCACTCTCACCACAGGTTTTAAGGAGCAGACCATGTGGAGGCACACTGCCAGCATGACCTCTGTGCAGGTCTGCAGCTCTGGCACCTGTGGAATGCAGGGTCAGGGCCAGGGATGAGGTGGTCACGACCAGTCCCGCTGTGGGGACAGCAGGGAGCCAGCGTCCTGGGATGGCTTCACTCCTGCTGCGCCTATGTGATCTCGTCCCTTTCCATACCCTCCCACTGGCGCCCATGACCTGGACCCATCAAGCCCAAACATGCCCGGACCTAGAGAGATGAAGGACTTGGTCCTGATGAAGGAGCGGCCCCTCTTCACAGCGGCTTTGGTCCGCTCCAGCCCATCCTTGGTGCCCTCCTTGGCTGCCTTCATGAGCTTCTGCATCTGTAAGAAAGCAGACGCATGAGAAGCAGCACCAGCCCTGCAACTTCTTGCTGTTTCCGTCGTTTTAAAAGAATACTGTCAAGTAGTCTGGTCATGAAACATTATCCAAAGCTGGCTTTTTGTGGTAGAAGAGCTTGGTTATTGTGTGTGTGGCTTTTAGCTACTTTTCATTATTTTTAAATAAAATGAAAAGTGAAATTTAAAAATAGAGCCCTCCTGGACACTGCCACAGTTTCCTGCTCCATCTGAAAGTCAGTGCTGTCTCTGCAGTCACTCTCAGCAGGATAGCTCTGCAGCATCATGGGATACAGGGTAGGGACGAAGGTCCCAAGCTGCACAGCAAGCAGCAGCACCGACCCTGCGCTCCGGAGCCAGCTTGGCACAGGCGGCCCTGTCCCACTCACAGTAGCTGGAGGGAGATGGGGCCTGATGGATGGGGCACAGCGGGACAGCCAATCCAAGGACCCAGCAAACGCCACTGCTCTTCAGAGCCTTGAGACGGAGGATGACAACCCCACTGCGCTGCAGCTCCAGACCCTGGCTTCCACCAGAGCACCTGCGCCTTCCACAGGTAGCACCAGCCTGATCTCCTCTCCTGCAGAAACCTAACTTGAGTGTCCACCAGGGATCGACGGCTCCCTCCAGAGAACACCTAACAGCCCGCACAGAGGCAAAACATCCTTCCATGCTCTCCTAGTGTGCTGTCTGCCCCACTTGGCTCCCAAGGGGCCCCCAGGACTGCCTCAGGGACTGAACTAAGCACTGAACTAAATCCCTGCTCAGGAACCCAATAGCTCTCCATTTCCATTTCTGCATCTGCCAGACCATTCTCCCCAACTTTCCAGCCAAAAACTTCAAAGCCACAGCTGCCTGCCTACCTCTTCAGGCATGCGACCCCACTGGCTTCCAGCTCAGCCCAGGGCATGCACCCACCCAGACTGCTCCAAGTCACTCCTAGCCCACTCCTTTCTGGCCTCAGATCTGGTCTGCAAGCCATGGTGCCCACCTGACCCTCAAGAATCAGAGGGCTGCAGAGTCCTGTCCTCACCTGGAGCAGATGGAAACCCACCGAAGTCCCAGGACCTGAGCGCCCCACTCCAACCCCATGCCCAGCCTGCTCCTTGGCTGCCTGGGGCCCAGCCCAGCCCTGTGCTTGCTGCATCTGTGATGGAGCTTCACCCCACACCTCAGCAGCCAGCTTCCAGAGCCTGAAGCACCTGCAAGTTTTGAAGTGGCCTCCACCACCGTCCTGTGTGCCTGGGAGTCACCACTGCCTGAGAAGCCCAGAACATCCAGGCTGCATTGAGGGCCACTGCTGCAGGGGCCAGGCAGACACCGACTTCCTGTGAGGAGCTGGTCACAGGTGCAAAGGGTCTGAGGCCAGGCCGCAGGGAGGATTACTTGACAGTGCCCTTTTAAAACACACCTCAAGGAACCGACCATTGAGTCTCCAAATCTAGCATTCTCAGACTTTCTGGCCCAGGAGTCCTGCATACACTTACAAATCCTCAGTATTAGTACCTTGTTTTTAGCATGCTGGGGTTGGACTCAGCCTTGCCTACTGCTAATCATGTGCTCTGCCACTGAGCTACACCCCAGCCCCCCAAAATTTAGTTTACCAGGGTTTTACTGTCCAATAGATCATGGCTGTATGGTCATGGCTGTATGGAAGTCAGACCTTAGAAAAATTTCAAGGATTTCTTGCTAATGTCCATTTAAGAGGTAAATCTATTATTTATTATCTTAAATAACCTATTTATGACAAACTACCTTACTGCTTGAAACTCGAATAATGATGTTCTGTACTCTGGACCTCTTTCCAACACAGCTGGGCTCTGCCTGCCACCGACTGAGGTGCACACCAGAGCTTCCAGAATGCTCCCCCAGTCACTCAGGAGAGGCAGAGCACGAGGAGAACACAGTCCTCAGATTCAGTGTGACCCCAGCAGCCCTGGGCCACACACTGAGAACCACTGTGGGGGCAGGAGGGGCTGGCGTGGGCGCGGTCAGCCCCCGTCAAAGAGGACCACACTACCTTCCACTCCTGCCTGCGCTTTAGCTGCTGCACCTCCACAGCTCCCACCGTGCTGGCCACCAAGTCTCTCATCTTTTCCTCACAGTGCGCCTTTAAGCGGGTTAGGTCATGAGAGAGCTGTGGCACAAAGAGACAGCATCTTTCAAAACAGGGCCCAGCCAGACCCGAGCCCACCACTCAGGCCACGGCCAGCCCCACTGCTTCCTGAGGGGGCACATGTGCGTGCAAGTCCCCACAGACATGTATGCAAGAACAGACAGGTGCTGGGGTTCCAGGCTTCAGCTGATGGGTGGGTGGCCGGGGTTTCCTGGACCACTTTCTGCCCCACAAACATCTCAGAAACACTCAGGCAGCCTAAACCCTGGGCGTCCTCATGTCAGCCAAAGGACACACTAAACATGGGTGAAATGGCTGCTGGGAGGATGTGCCAGCTTCATCCATGTGTGCAGCTTTTAACATCTGCCGCCTTCCAGGACAGTATAAACACACAGCTCTCCATCTCCACTGGCCCAATCCACGAGGTCCCAGAGCACCCCCACCCGAATCTAGCAGGGCTGCGCTGGGGCCTCGTCAGGACTAGGACAGCCAGATCCTGCTGGCCTTGCCCACTTCCCAGGCAGAGACCCCGATGTCTGCACTGGCGTGGTAGAAGCTCCTCTGGAATCCTGGGGCTGCCTCAGGGCAGGGCAGGACAGAGCAGAGTGTGCAGCAGCTGCCAGCCTGGACCTGACATGGCCTGCCCTCTGCTGGGCCCTCACTGCTTGGTGACTCTGCCGGCTTCAAGGTAAGTCAGGGGGTCTGACATGACCGCACCAACCCAAACTTTCCCTGCTCATGAGCCCTGCCAACCACACCAGCACTGTGCCCGCAGGCAACGCAAGATGAGTAATGCTGGCTGAGGAAAAGACCTAAGTCCTGGACAAGCCCTGTCCATGATGGAGTCGGGGTGTCCACTGCAAACCAGCAGCTGTTCCTGCCTTCTGTGAGCAGGGTCAGGGGTCGGGATGTTAAAGACAACTCGGCAACCACGGGAAAGGCCATCTCTGCAACTGAGGCCCCCGAAGAGTCTCTGGCCGAGCCCGCCTGTCGCCTGGGAGGGAACTATACACGTGGTGCCCATGGCCAGCAAAGCAACACAGGTACCTGCCCAGCTGCAATGAGGACCCTGCACGTGTACTCATAAAGCTCCAGACTGGCCACCTGACCCACACCAAAGCTCACGCTTTTGGGCTCCATGTTCCCCCTCTGATCCCAGCTTCAGAAGAAACCCAAGTGCAAGTAATAATTCAAAGAGCAAACTAGAAAACAGATAAAGAGGAAACTGAGAGGACTTGTGCAAAAGGTGGAGGACAGGCAGGGGACAGGTGGGGCAGAAGAAAAAATGACACTGCACTATGTACACATAGTGACTCCCCACGGTGGGCAAATGTGAGGCACACAGGGCTCTCACATGGGGTCACACAGATTTCCTACACTCAAAAAGATTTCCAGTGGTATAGAACCTTGGATCTCTGTCACTCTCAGCACCCTATGACCCCAGCCTCCCGCACATGGGGAGAGGCTGGGCCCACAGTGCTTCAGGGAGTACAGATCCAGGAGACAGGGTGAGTGCACCTGGGGACCCTGTGTGAGGGCTCTGTGCATCCTGTGTGCACCAGGGGACCCCTGTAAGGGTTCTCTCTCCTTCACAGGGCCCCTGGGACCCCAGGAGCCATGACTGTGCCCTCCACTCTCCATGCCAGGGACAGTGAGCCTGCCTCTGCTCCTGAGTGCAAGGCCCATGTCCTGGACCCCACTTCGGGAAACGACAGGCACAGTGGCCTTTACCCACACTGTGTATGGCCCAAACCACATGTCGACCTCTCAGAGCAGCAGCCTGCAGCCTTTATCCACAGCCCCATGCACCCGAGGCCGCACACCTACTTGCTTCCTGTGGCTGCCGCGCAGGAAGGACCTGGGCACACCGTTCCTGCATTCTGAGTCACTCTGCTCCTCGTAGCTCTCGAACTCACTGGAGCTCCAGCCGTACTCCACAGAACTGTTTCCTCCTTGCTCTCCGTTCTCGACATCATCATAAATCATTTCATCTGAACACACAAATTCCAAGACCAAGTTAAAACTCAAACACAGAGCTCACTCGCTCACTCATCCTAGAGCCAAGGCATTAGCACATGTGAGGGATGGTGGGCCACCAGCCTCACTGGGGTGCTCCCCACACTTGGCTCTCAGAACTCTTGGTGCGTCGGGTAGGTGGGGTCATGGCACCTCTGCAGGTGGCTCCCAGGATCCCTGCCTGCTCCCAGGGACCTCTGGCCTATCTGAACCCACCACCACGACACCTAACATTTGTGGAAAGAGTGAATTTCCACAACGGGGCTTTCTTCACTGGGTGAGATAGACAGCTAGGCAGACGGACACCAGGCAGGTGGAGAGGGCTGGGTACTGGAAGATGGTGGGCAGGTCGGCAGGGGGACGGCAGATGATGGCAGACAGGTGGACGACAGGCAGCCCTGAACGGCCACACAGATGAGACACAGGAGCACTCACACAGTGAAGCTTACTTCCGACACCTGTACGTTTCCTCTGTGTTAGAACTTGTCCAGTAAGATGTATAAAACCGTGCCAGTGTATTACATGTGTTTTGTCACATCAGTAGGAACATTGAAGAGTGTGTCCTACTACCCCTGAGAGGAAGGATGACAAAGCCCTCCATTAAAGGACCTTTGCTTAAAAGGCTCTCAGCGAGGAGTGCCTCCCTTGTTCCACGATCCACACCCTGACCCAAGATCAGGCCAGGCAGACCCGACTCCGGCTGCCACACAGAGCTGAGCCACACAGCACTGCCTGCCACCCACAGCCAGCTCCTGCCAGCATGGAGGCCTAGGGCGGCCAAGGGTGCGGCAGGGACACACAGCAGTCTTTGTTTGTCCTTGGTACTGCGGTCTAGCACTGGGCCTTGTGGAGGCTGAAACTGTCACTGCTTGAACTCCCAGAGTCCAGGTGGCTTTCTGACTTCGCCTGTCAACCACAGGAGCCTAGACAACCCGCAGTCCACCTAAACTTATCAGACAGCAGACTTCCGGAGACTGCCTGCACATGTCATCAGCTAAGAACAGGACGAGCATTCACAGCATCTCCATGCCTTCAGAGGCCGAGCTTCCTCTGAGAGGTGATGGCATCCGTGCTGTTCACAGCCTGAGAGCCCAAGGAGCCAAGCACTGGCAAGCACACTTTCCAGGATGAGGGCAATGCGCGGGACGCGCGAGAGCAAACACCCCTGCACTGGAAATGAGAGCTCAGAGAGGCTGCACAATGATGGCACAAGCTCTTCATGCTTCCGCCCACTGCAGAATTCAGATGGCTTTATTCTGAAGGCAGAGAGAGTCCTCTAGATTTGTGAACAGAAGCCATTGCCATCATCCAGGTCTGGCAGTGAGCCCGGCCCACCTGGCCCACCGGCATAGGTGAAGGCTGAGTGCCCGTCCTGGACACCTGGAACCCGCCCAGTCACCCCAGAGCTGTGGGTCAGGGATGAGGGCTGGGGCCTGGCTCACAGGCGTGAGGCAAGCACACTCTCCTGGCTGTGGAACACCAGCTGCACCTCGGAAGCCTGGGGACCCAGAGGGCAGAGGCTGGAGCAGAAGCTCAACCCTCTGCAGCCCTGCCAGGGAAGCACTCTGCTGGCCTCGGACCAATGAACAAGACACTGTAGGACCTCAACAGACACCTGTGGAGATGCAGGCACAGCAGTTTTGGTAACCCAGATGCATCTTTCCCCACTCCCAGAAACGGAGGTGGGGTGGCCCCTCCTCAGCCATAGTCCGAGGTCCCTTTGCTGTGCTGTCTTTCATGGGAACCAAGCCCACCTGGGTCAAGGCCATCCCTGGCAGGAGGGTTGCTATAAGGCTTCCAGGGGCATACTGGCTTGACACCTTTGGCAGCCCGGCTGCCAGGAAGAGTGGCCTGAAAACACACTCCGCAAATGCTGGGCAATAAGCCCTGTACCCACTATATACCTGAGTCATGGCCTGAATACCAATTATCTGTCATGTGTTAGATCTTTGCTTCAAAGACACAACGCAACTATAGAAATATTCCTGGTGGGCGGGGCGAGTGTGCATTTGGAAACTATTGGCTTCAAGGTCTCCCTGTGTCCTTTAAGACTCACACAAGCTACATTAATGGTGCATCCAGCGTCCATCAGCAGTGGAAAGAACTCTGTAAAATCTCCCCACATGTTATGTGGTCTCCATTCCCAATTCTGCCTCTGCCGTCACCTGCTCCCCGCCTTTCTCAACTCTGCAGTGACAGCCACACAGCTCAGCGCTGTGCCACCCTTCCTCCCGGCTCTGCACCTCAGGGTGCTCCAGCCCACCCCCTCCTCGGACCCATCTCGCCACCCATGCATCCTGGCTGGCCTTGGCCTTGTGTCTCCTCTCCCACCTGCCCTGCCCACAGGAGCCAGCTCTGCTCCTCTGCCCACTGGAGAATCACCCTTGCTGCATCTGCACCCAGCTGACACTTCCTGTGAGGACCAGTGTATCTGGATGTACTCTTTTGTATCTGGATACAATCTTTTCTCCTCCTTTTTGTTATTCTCTTTTAGATTCTGCTCTCAATCAGACTGGGTTTTGTTTTACTGGTTTACAAGTTACCTTATGTCTAGGCCTTCCATAAAATACACACTTGACTTGTCATGTCATAAAAACCCAAAACAAAGAACCCAGTAGCCCCCTACAGACAGAGGCTGAGTAACCATGGCCAGCCCCAGCCTCAGCCCACGCTGTTCAGTTTGTCCAGACCTTAAAGCTGATCTTCCCACCATGCTCTCTCGCTTCACACTTCCTCTGGGCTCAGGGTCACTCCTGTGAAGTACATTAAGTGTTCCTGAGGCATCAAGAGGGACAAGTGTGTCTCTGTCTTCCCGCCTCAGAGGGCTGCCACAGCTGGGTACAGAGCCCAGGGCCAGGCCACTGCTTCCGTCTGCGCCCTGGACGCTGCCCTTGGTCCATGTGTCTTTGGCGGCCTGGGTCCTCAGGCGCGCCTCATGGCCTCCTGTCCTCTCCAGCTCCAGCTGAACATTTCTGTGGACTTGGCAGTTGGACTGGGGCTCGTATTTCTGCACACTGAGACGTGTGTCTTCATTCACTTCTGCACGAGTCTTGGTAACTTCCTTTGACTATCACTGCAGGCTTTCCCCATATTTTCTTTTACATTTTATTAGATGTGCTCGGTATTTCTTGCCCCCTCCCCCCTGTTTCTTCCCTTTGTCCTATTTCCTCCTTTACTCTTTCACTTCACACATACACACATCAATGTTTGCAGACACTCGCTCTCTGAGATATGGAAGGTGGACACAGACAGTGCACTCTCTAAGCCTGGGGACAGGAGGGCCTGAAACAGCCCGAACACTCAGACCCACTTCCCGACAAAAGGCACCTGGCTCTGAGTCCGAGTTTTCCCTCGGGACATCGTCATAAATGGCTTCTTCTGGATCTGCAGAAAAAGGGGGAGACTTTAGAAACTGGCCCAAACCATCCAAGTGCAACTTCAGCGTTAGGAGGCCAAGCCTCCCCGCCCCAGGCAGCTCAGGGTGGGCGCCTTCCTGTGCCCAAGGTCTGGCATGGGCTCAGGAGCAAGATGTGGGGCTCTCAGAGGATGAACTGCTACCAAGAGACCACACAGCTTCCACACTGTGCTCACTGCGCACCTCGCTTGGCAAGTGCCCCCAGCCCTTGCTTAGATTTCCATTTTGAGACAGTATGTCCCTAGGTTGCTCCAACTGGGCTCTAATTTGTGATCCTCCTACCTCAGCCTCCAGGACAGCTGGGATTACAGGCCTGTGCCACAGCACCTGAGTCTTACACACGCTTCTAAGTTTAAGAAGTTAAAGTGTTCTGATGTACAAGAAAACACAATGGTGATGTGCAGAGCTTCCGAAATAAAACTACAGCATATAACAGAAAGCCATCAAAATAAAGTGAAGGCTCTGCAGTGCCAGAGACTCAGCCTGTACTTCAGGGACCCCGAGGCTCAGAGAAAGTGTATGGATTTCTAAGAGCAGCCAAATGGTATGCACGCTGCAAGATGAACACATCGGAGTAGCAACGTGCCTGAAGCCGACCGGAGCGTGTGTCTGCCTTCTGAGCAGACCTTCTGGTTCCCGACAGTCACTCATGGGTGCCCCTCTCCAAACAGCAGCATCTGACTGTAATAGGGGCCAGGAGCCTGGAGGTCACATGCTAGTAAAGCACTGGAGAAGAAACGACCCTGTGCCTGCGTGCTGCCTGATCTCAGCAAAGGCTCTGTGCCAGCACCAACCTCGCCAAAGCAGCTTGAACCGTCCTGGGTGAGGGATCCCCAAAAACCACCGGTGGCTCCTGCCTGTGCTGTGAACAATTCACAGGCACAGCTTCAGTGATGGGAAAGGCATCACCAGAAAGGAATCTTAATCTCTCCTTAAAAATTAAAAAACAAGCAGATCCGGCTGACAATGTCCCAGCCTCTTAAATAACAGCAGGTCCAAGCCTGGTGTGCAGGAGTGGGCTGCAGGTCACAACCTTAGCTCCCTATGCAACAAAGGAGAGAACCAAATATGCACCCTGAAGAAGCAGTCAGGAAGGGGCAGGACACAGACCGGCGTGATTGTCCAAAAAGCCCAGAAAATCCTCCCGGCAGGCGACTTCTACTGATCGCCTCGCAGGCACAGGGGGCTCTCCTCAAGGTTTTAAGTAACTGAAGCTGGTGCATCGGAGCATGCCTGTAATCCCAGGCCGAGGCAAGGGAGCACAAGTTTGAGTCCACCCTGGGAGACTTAACAACTTACTGAGACCCTGCCTCAAATTAAAAATTGAAGAGCTGAGGATGTAGCTCAGCATGAAGCTACAGGTTGTCCTCAGCAATCCTAAACTAAGGAATGTCTGCAAGCTTCTAATCTAGCCTAGGATGGGAGATGGCACACTGCCATCAGCTGGCAACCCTGCAGGGGTTAGGGGACCCAGTTTGGGGCCACTCACTTTCCATCCACGCCGTGTTGGCTGGGTCTGCTGCCCACTGGGCGAGGGTGCTGCCTTCCCTGCTGCTTTGATCATCTCTGGAAGAAAACATAGCACAGTCAGAGCACTGGGCCTGGGACTCAGTGGCAGTGGGTGGTGTGCGCCACGGTGCATGTCAACCCTGGCTCCGTAGCCAGTACTCGGGAACCCCAAGTCCAAATAATCTCTCGTAATCTTATTAGCAAGCAAGTCATTGCTCTCTCCCAGCCAAGTGTCTGGGCACTACAGGAACCCTGCATAAACACCAGCCCTGTGCAGAAAGGGTCCTCAGGCATGGTTGCACAAGGCTGGGCTGTGTAGGGCCTGGGCTGCGCCACCCCTAGCACAGCCTGGCAAGAGAGAGACACAATGCCCCCTGTATCCACGAGGGGACAGTGATAGGGCCAGATGGGGACCCCAATTCCGACCAATGTCTTGTGCAAATGAAGGACTCCATCAGATTCACTAGAAAACCCAAGGTCACCTATCAGGAAATGGGCCCTGGGGCACCTGTGCTCCATGAGGTATGCATCATGGGAGTGAAGCATGTGGAGACGAAATGAATTCACGGGAAGCAAGGGTGAGCATCTGAACACCCCTGGAGAATGCTCTGAGAAACTCACACCAGAAGCACAGCATTCATACCTACGTACTTAGCCCCCAGCACAGAACTCTCCAGAGGAAAGAGAGAGGGCAGAGGCCCCACAGGACATGGTCTTGTTCTCCATCTCTTTTTGGGGACATGAGTGTCAAGACCCCGACATATTCCTGACCCCACAGACAGCTTGTTTTTCAGGGTCCTGTGGGTAGGATGTGACTTTGTTGGACAAAGGGACAATTCCCGTCCCAGGGGCCAGAAAGAATTCATCACAATCAGCATGAATTTAAAATTATGAACTTTGTTTCTGGGATTTTATGTTAGTATGGACAGGGCTATGGCATTTGCCAGGGAGGCACCCATGCTCCACACAGTGGGCAGTCAGGAAGTGGCCAGCTGATGACAGGTCACACCGAGAAGAGAGGATTCTCATGATGTATGAGCCTACAATTGTATCTAAGCAAAAAATTCCTTGAAAAAAGCAGAAGTGTAGGAAATATGAATGGTATTTAAAGATATTTCCCCCTGCCGGGGACAACAGGGGACTCTGGCTACGCAGAATTACAGATTCTGACAAAGAACCTATGTGATCTGCCCCTGCTATGTGACCTGTCTCCCATCTGCAGAGAGCCCTTGTCCACAGGAAGTCCTCCCGGAATCCCTTTGTCTCTGGACGGTCTTGTGTGGGGGGACACGCCAATGCTGGCGACTAATGGAAGACATGAGTGGGTGTGAAGACCAGGCTGACCGGGGACTGTCCCGACGGGCACACAGCCCACCAGCCGCTCACTTCCTGTCACCCCCCACTGTCTGCGCTGGACACCTGGGGACGGCGTGCTGCTCGGTGACAGAAGAGTGGCCACAGCTCAGCAGCCTCTAGGACAGCAGCACAGTGCTGGGGCCAGCAGGCCCAAGCACACACAGAAAATGAACATGACACCTGTTCGGAGGGTCCTCGGCGCTCAGGGCATGGAACTGGTGGTCGTTGTCCACGGCTTCCAGTGCTTCTGCTGGGAAAGACAAGACCCACGTTGTGTCAAGCCTGTCGGAAACCTCTGTGCAGTTCTTATCCTCCCGGTGACTTCGAATTTCCCTTTCTCATCGATAATGGGCTTTGTTACATGAAGATGATTTACTGACGTGTTTAAAATTCCTTAGTTCTCAGACAAGAGGACTTTGACACAGAACTAAAATGAGATGTGAAATTCTAAGGTGAAAACAGAACTGAGATGCACAGACGCAGGACTGACTGCAGCCAGGGCCACAAAAAAGCCTCACACACGTCCTGTCCAAGGATCCCCACAGCCTGCCTGGCCGCACCCTGGGAAACAGTGGACCACGACGACACACACGCCTGCCCACAGGTGCTTGTTCCTGACACTCGTGTTCTCACACCTTCACCGACGCTCTCACACTAGACTCACACACATACATAGGCCCTCACACATACCCTTACACAGGCACTTCTCACACTTGTCCTTGTGCCTGCAGTTCACTCCCACGTGCAAATACCCTCATATACATGTTCATCACACATGTGGCTGGACACCAGGACATCCCATTGGGCCTCATGCGGGGACTTCCTTCCTCCTGAGGATATCGAGGCACAGCTGACCCAGTGCACTGCTCACAAACCCTACCCTGGGGCAGCCACACAGCAGGTGCCATCGGACACACAGAAGCTGGGCCCGGGTCCTACCTTAGTGCCCTGTGTCTTGGGACTGGCACTAGTCTTTCCGGAGTGGGGCAGGGCTGGGCAGAGGCACAACCCATCTGGCCCAGTTCCTGCACTCACTCAGGAAGGAGATATGGAGCAAGCACTTCCAGAACCTCTGCACAGAAGCAGTGAGGGAGGGGAGCAGGGCGCCCACACTGTGACCCCTAGGACCTGCAGCTGTACTGCTGCAGGGCTGTTCCTCAGGGGAACGTGTGCTAGGCTGGGCCCAGCCCTGACTCTCTGAGCCATCGGAGCTCGGTGTACTCCTCCCACTCCAGGATCCTGTCAGAGCTACTCAGGCTGCTCCTAGTCCCCAGCCAGCGAGTCATTACCTGGTTCTTAGTAGCACAAAACAAAACAAAACAAACCGCACATTCTTGTAAAACCATACTGCGTTATGGCTTAAATAAGTTAATTTAAATGGTATTCAATTATTTAAAGTAACGTTCTTCTCTAAGGGCAGAGTCTGGGCATCCATCCCACCCTCCATGGTGGCAACAGGAGACAGCACTGGGGACCACGGGGGACCTGAGGGGGCCCTCAAGCTCAGCGGGAAGACAACTATCCGACAACCTATGGTTTCCAGATTAAAGGAAAGTAGTGTGTTCTTCAGAAATGGTTTCTCTCCATTGTCAACTAGAAAGGAAAAATCTTTACTGAAATTTTCATACAAACACAAGCTGCATCCTAGTCTCAGTCATGCCCAAACAGCTCTCCTGCAGCAAAGACTCACACACAGGAGGCAGAATTCCTGCATCCTATGAAACAGGGACACAGAGGGTGGGGAGGACACTGCAGCCAGCTGGACACCCGGGCTGGGCCCAGCCTCTTCCCTGCACACCAGCCTGGCAGATCTGAGTCATGTGACCTGCACCATACACGTGGCTCCCTCAGCCCAGCCACATGAGTCCCTGAGGGCTCCTTTTCACTACCTGGAGGTGAGGACAGAGAACCACCCAGCCCACCCCAGAGCCAAGGCTTGGCAGAGCCATAGCAGGCACCCCTGCCTGGACACCTGACTGGGGGCCCACAGCTGCCCCATCACCCAAGGGCTTCCTGCCAAGGGACCCAGGTGTCTCTGGACCCCTTCTGGACAGAGGAAATGAAGCAGGTAAGCCCCAAGACCTCCTGGGCCTTCTTCCCAGGGCCCTGCTGCCACTATTGGCTCTGGCCCTGTTGTCTCTGGCCAACCATAGGAGCCCGATTTGTGCATCAGGACGCAGTGCTGGCAAATGGCAGGACAACATGGGCTTGCTGAGCTCCTGAGGCTGCAGGGGCAGACGTCACCTGGGTCCTCCTCACAGGCAGGGCCTGACAGGTAGGGCCAGGTGTGATTCCTTAGCTTTCTAGACGTTAACTACTGAGCTGAGCCCCACAGAGAGGTAGAGCTGCAGGGCCGAGCCAGGGAGACAGATGCCTACCTTCCTCATCCACAGACTCCGTGCGGATGATGATGGGGCTAGAGTAGGCGGGCAGCAGCACGGGCAGGCTACAGGGGACGGCGTAGCCGCAGGGTGCGGGCACCAAGTACCCGCTGGGCACATGCAGACCCACACTGTCCTCCTCGGTGGGTAGGTCTGGGGGTGGCAGTGCATCCTCCTGCAATGGCGTAATGTCTATGACGGAGTATGGGTTCACCTTCACTGGGACCGAGAGCTTGGTGGGTTCTGCCCCTGCCAGGGCTTCTGTCCCAAGCCCCTTGTGATCTGCTGGAAGACAGGGCAGTCAGCCACCAGATGAGGACCAGGCAGCCCTCACCTGCCCTGCACCAAGAAGACCCCCAGGTTGCTGCAGTGGCCGCATGGCACACTGTGGATGGGATAGCACCACTCTGGGTACAAGTGACACAGGCCCTGCCCCACAGCTCTCCAAGACCGGTGACAGCCTCTGCCTGACAGAGACCCTTAGGGCTGGCCCTGCAGCCACCAGTCCCTGAATCAAAGCCCAGATTTTCTAACACCTTCCCCAATGGCCTGGCCATGGCGCCCATAGAGAGAAGAGGGAGTTCCCAACAGAAAATGCAGGAATGGACATGCACTTCTACCATGGAAACTCAGCTACCACTGAACCACATGGCTGCAGCAATGCAGAGAAGGGGGAACTCACCCTCGGGGGATGGGCTGGCAGGACCTGAGGCTTCATCTACTCCTTTGCAGGATGGGGCTTGGCGATCTGCTTCGGGGACTTCATCTCCACTCTCAAAGTCGAATTGTTCTCCCTCTTCCTCTTCATTGTTATTACTATCATATTTCACTTCATTTTCTAAAGTTTAAAATAACATCAATTACAATATCGCATTTGTTCCCAGCACCAGGCCTGCACCTTCAGCCCAGGGAGAGAGCTGGGGAGGGCTTCAGGGACGGCCCTCACCTGCAAAGGTGGAAAAGGAAGGAGGAGAAAAGGCATTTCTCACACTTTAAATACATTTACCAGGGCTTCAGGAGTCAATTAGGAAAAACTCTACCCCCTTTAAGGATCTAAACCTATAGGGAAGGAGAGGGACGGAGCCTTGGCCTTGCACTCTGAGGCTGGGTCTGCCTGTCCTGAGCTGAGTCCCAGGCTGGGCTCCCTGCTGGGTGTGACCTTCACCAAGGCCAGAGACTTCTTTCCTAACCTACTCTTAGACAGGGTGGTCCAAGGCCCCAGTTCGACCCCAGCAGAGGATCCGAGAGAAAGAAAACTTCAGGAGTTTAACACAGAATTTTGAAAGAAAAAATTAGCAGAATGTATGTTTTAAGAACCAGCACTGCATTTGCTGTAAACTCAAATCATTAGTCATTTTCTTATTTTTTTCAAGAAAAATAATACCATGTACCCTGCAACTAGAATGCTCAGGAAAAGCATTAAGATCCTGCCCCACTGACTTCAAGTGTGGTACAATATACACAAAAATACATAGTAGACTATGTTTGTTTTTTTAACAATTCTGATTCCTGCCCCATTTTTCCTTGTGTTTTCAGGGGAGACAGAGGACTGTCTGGTGGCCAGGAGGGCAGGTTCTTGTGGCTGCTCCCCCACCCTGCTTCCTGGCCACCATGCCCTCTGCAGTTTCCCAGAACCTTCCCTATGCTGTGCCTGCCAGGAGCCCTTAGACTTAGGCCCCCTGACCCAGAGCCCACAGGTGTCAGCTGTCTGGCCCAGTTACAGCAGCACTGGCCAATGAGGGAATTTCCACACCAGGGCCCTCTTGATGGGTCCCAGCAAGGATGGCACCACTTACAGTTTTTACTAAGTAACAGGCAAGAGGATTCTCATTCATTCCCACAACACGCGGGAGGCCAAAGATAAGCACAAAAAGGCAGAGCGAGAAAGCGCAGGCAAGACAAGGAGAAAGAAAAACCACCACCATGGTGCCAGGACGCGCACAGCCCTCTTGCCTCTCAGGTCCACGGTAGTTCTGCTCAGGCTGTCCAGGCCCATCCTGCCGCATCCCACTCACGCTCTCAGGGGCCTCAGCCTCATGCTCCATTGTGGCATCTTCATGCCGGTCCCCAAGGCCCCTGAGTACAGATGTTCCCTCTGTGCACAGGCACACCAGCCCTCTCCACTGCACACTCTGCTGCCCTGCACTTGGGTGGACTGGCTGGTCTCAGGGAGGTGCACATCTGCTCCTGCAGCTACCACCCAGGGACAGCAGCAGGGGCATAGGAGTGTGCAGGGCAGGGTGGCCACAGGACAGCGCAAGGCCAAGGAGGCCAAGGCCTCGAGTGTTTCTGGAGATGCCAGAAACAGCACTGACACAGGGCTCATTCTCGGGGTCCTAGACAAAGCCTAGCACTTTCCCCTGGTCTTCACACCATGTGCCAGTGTAACATTCGCACTCAAGCCAAGAGAACTCATTTTAAGGAATGCTGTCTGCATCATTTAAGTCAAAAGCACCACACCACCAGACTTCATCCTGGACTGGTCACCCCACTCCCCACACCACCCTGGGCAAGGGCAGCATGCAGTGGCTCCACCTGAGCTCACTTCTGTAAATCACATCTGTGAGGCAACAGCGACTTCCTTTTCCCAAACGTAAGGGCACTGCTGTCAGAGCACACTCTGGAATCACACTGTCTGCTTTGCTTTCCGAAATACTTGGGACACTGGACAGACTAGAGCTTGCAGGCAGCCTGCACAGGGATTGCCCGTGGGCACCACTTTACTGAGTTCAGGCTTGTGTACACACACACACACACACACACACACACACACACACACTCACACACAGGCTCCAGAATGTGAAGGTGATGCACGGGGCCTAGAGAGCCATCCCACAGCCTAGGGCCCCTCCCTACCTGCAGGAGTGGTGTGCAGTGGTGCCTCTCCTGGGTCCATGCTCTGCCCAGCAGCTTCTCTATGACGCTCCATCAGAAGCCACAGGCTGTCACGTCCCAGGTGGACACGTGTCACAACTCACCATGCAGCAACCTGCAGAAGGAAAGGCATCACTGTTATTTGGTGCTGCGGTGACTGCAAATAATACCCAAGTGGCCAGGGTCAACTCCTGCCCAACACTGCCCACCCTTGCTCACTTTCTGCTGGGTTAGCTACAAATTGTACACATGCAGAAGCTCTTTCTCAGCTGCCTTTGAGTGAAGACTACATACCCAGTCCAGCCATCTCCACACACCTGGTGCTTTCATCCATACCCTACCTTCCCTGGGAGTGTCATAAAAGCCCGGCTAAGAAAAAGTGAGACACCAGCTGCTCAGGAGAAGGCCCTTCCCCAGCTCCAAGGATGCCATCCTGTTAGCTTACGAGCAGGGCTGACTCCTGCTTAGATACCCATCACCTCCAGGCCCTGCAGGCCCAACATCCTGGCTCCTACCCTGGGCCACCAACATCACCACCCAACACCAGCCTGGCTTCTGCCAGAGCAGCTAGGAGAATTCTCCAATGCAGGTGCACCTGCTCCAACATCAGGTGTACAGGGACATGGCAGCCTGTGAGCTCTGCGAATTCAGGTGCGCCAACACCACCTGCAGAGAGGCCTACCCCTGCCCATCAGGCAAACCTGCCCTGCCCCTGGCGCCCCTGCATCCCTGCCACACCCTCAGGGCATGGAGAAAATGCTCAGACAACAACCCAGACCTGCCCACCAGCCTCAAGGGTGCCCTGTGAGCTTGACTCCAGGTTCGTGCCATTTCACTGACACACAAGTGTACGCATGCACATGCATGTGCACAAGCGCGCACACACACACACACACACACACACACACATGGCATCTGCCCAAGCACTGTGAGCCATGGCACAAGACGACTTTCTCTTGCTAGTTCACAGCATGTAACACCACCTGTTAGATATCAGATATTTCTAGTTTGTGTCCCCAAAACTGAAGAACAAATTCTAAGGAACAACGGAGGTTAAGAGTATGAAAGATTTATTTATAGCTCCTGAGACAGGAGGGGACCCAGAAGTGAGATGCCATCAAGGTCACGTCTTTAAGAATATTTTATACCACAAAACCATGGAGTGGACACAAAATCAAAAAGTGGGTACAACGTAAGTCAAACCACACCAGCCTATAGGGCTCCAGGTACAGCCACTGAGCTGGCACTGACCCAGCAGGGAAGCAGGTCATGTAGTAAAGACCTGGAAGGAACAAAGGCATCTCCAGGAGGGGACGGGTCCAGGTGCTCTGGTCATCTACCTGGGTGACTGATGTCCAGCTGGCCTTCGGAGGACCAGATTATACCAATTATCATACAATCCCAAGTCACTGTTTCCCCCTCGGAGCCTGCAGGCTGGCCACTGATCTTTACCCTGAGGCCAGGCCTTCTTCCCATGCACCTCCAGCTCCAGCTCGGATGTTGGATTTCTTCTGCTGACTTCCTTGGTGCCCTGCCTTTTAGCTGCTCACCACCATAGCTGAGGAGTGTCTTGTCACCCTCTCCAATGGATAACCATGGCTTGAGGCTCCAGAGACCCAGGGCCCCAAGGCAGGGATCTGAGGGGCTGGAAGCTCTAGAGGCAGAGCCCAGGGCAGTGGACATTGTCCCTCTGTGCATGCTGGGGTGTGTCATCTGTACAGGTGACCAGGGGTAGACAGCACAAGGAGCAATGCATGACCCTTCCAACTATCGCTGGCAGCAGGGGCAGTGGCAGCTGTTACCTGTTCGGTTCTGATGCTGCTACACCACACCCTGCACACCCAGACTCTGAGAAGCTTGTCCTCCACGCCCCATTGTCCCCTAGAACACACGGCTCCATGTCCCACGCTGGCCAGGACTGCAGCAGTCAGGCAGGGACAGATGCAGGAGCAAGGGCAGTGCCAGGGATGCCACAGGGCCGTGGAGTGGCAGGTCCAGGAGAGGCTATGGATGCGCAGAGACAGTATCCCCCAGCAGGTCGAGGGAGGCCATAGCGAAGACAGGCAGGATGAGCCCACGCAAGGAATCTCAGGGCCACTCCTAGAGTACCTGTGTTCCCAGGCAGGGAGCACTGTCTCGTGAGCGCACATGCACGAGTACACACGTGTGCGTCAGTGAAATGGCACTGTCAGCAAATAAGAGAGCGCATTTCCCTTCTTTGCTGCAATGCTGCAGCCCAGCAGCTCTGTGACCAGCACAGCAGCAGAAGTAGGTGGCGCCCAGCAAGAATACAGGGTCAGGGCCAGTGGCCCTTCCCTACAGGCCTCGGCCCTGTGTCTGAGTACCAAACCATATGGAGCAGGACAGCCAAGAGCCATCAACAACACCCTCTGCTCTGTGCTGCAGGAGGAAAGCTGGACAGGGACACCTAGCGTGGGACTGGCCACCCCTACCACTGGCCAGTGACAGGGCTAGAAAACCGAGGTGAGGCACTACCACCAAGAGGAACAGCAACTTGCACTGCCAGCAGTGCCCAGGGACTTCGCAGAAGACCAGATGTCCCTCTGCTTTACAACAATCTTGAAGCTCCCTGCTGGAAGTAAGGACACCAGGGCTGACCTTCGCCCTCCTGAAGCCAAGTGGCTGCTCTGCTGCCTGGACATATGTCAACAGGCGCACGGCTTCAGGTCTCACAGGGTCTGGGGAGTCAACCATTTTCTACGCCATGCTGCAAGGCTTAGGGATGAGTTCCTCTGACCCCTCACCTTCCTGCAGATGAGGAGGTGGCTGAGGAGGTGACAGGAGGATGCGCCTGTCTGCAGGGACTCTCTCACAGACCTGTGTCCTCAGACTCCCCCACCAGCCCCTGACCCACCAGCTGGCCCTCAGGGGGCTCTACAGCTGTGAGCACAGATTCCAGGCTGGCTGCAGCTCAGGGTCCTACTGCGATGGTGTCACACTACAGAGTTCTTCCAAGGTCAGTGGCCCTGGGAAGCCACACAGCCTCGTCCCTGGACTGCCGCACCCTGACAGGCCATACCTGCCATCCTCCCACCTGTCCCCAAGCTGAACTGACCCACACGGGATTCAGATGCTCTCCATTCTCGGAGCCCCTAGTAGCAGCAGAGGGCCGCGCTTACCCCGGCTGCCCTCAGCTATCACTGTGGGACCTTGGAAGGTGGCCCACATTCATGATGCCACCACCCTGCCCTAACTGCTGTCTCCTTCCAGTGTAAGCATGGGCAAGGTCAACCTGTACACTGCTGCATAGCTGCTAACAGAAACTGACACCATAGTCGAGGAGCCTAGAGCCATGAGCACAGCAGGACAACTTGGGAGCAGGCAGCTGGTCTGGTTGGCTCCACACTGCCCTCTGTGCGTCCTGCACATGCTGGTCCTCTGTGTAAAGTGCAGAACTACCACACCCCCCAGGGCACAATGTCCAGAGCGACCTCAGGAGGCAAGGCTCTAATGCCACACACCAAGGGTGGATATGCCCAGTTGTGAGAGTGCTAGGCAGACTACTATTAGGTGGCAAGGCGGAGGCACAGGGAGTCATCATGGGCATGATCTTGTGGTCTGTGAGGTCACTGGCCCTTCCTCTCTGCTTCTCCCCTTGCTCTCTGCTGTTTACACTTTCCTTCCACCATGACACCTCTGCCTCACTTGGGGCTGATGGCAATAGAGATGCCTGCCATGGACTCAGGAGCTGTGAGCCAGAAGAACTGCTCTTCCTCCCTTCAAATCTGGCCAAGGTATAAAGAGCTAAGGACACACACTCCAGGGACAGGTGTGACATTTCTCACTCCCTGGCTGGACCAGCAAGGGGGACTTGGGTGGCCACCAGGGAAGAGTGGGGGCGAGTGGGGGCCATAGACAGCTATTGAACAGATCCTGCCTGCCTCAGCCTCCCATGCTGAGGGGTACTGTGGTGGTAATAAGGACCAGGCCCACAGGAAAGACAAGGCTGGGATCCTGTTCTTAATGCTGGACAGGCACATCACATGGCTTGTGGAATGAGCAAGCATGATGCCTGCAGTCCTGGACCTGGGTCCCCCATTTTCCACCCTCAGCGCCCCCCTCCAGTGGGACACAGAGGCCCCCTGAACCATGCAGCCTGCGTCTTCCTGCAAGTGAGGCCCCAAGTCCCAAGCAGCTAAAATGTCCTGAACAGAAGGTGCAGACCACCCGCTGCCTGCATGGCTGCTGGGACTGAGTTGACCATGAGGCATTTGTAGCTGAGCACAGCACAGGGTCTTAGGGACACAGTATGTGCCCCACCCCCACGGCTGTCCTGCGATGCAGGACTACAGAACGGGGCAGGCAGAGCCAGGGTCAGGGCTGGGACTGTGCTGGCCACTCAGCGGCCCTGAGCTCACCAGGCCCTGAGCTGCAGCCCGCCTCCCCTCTCTGCGCACGAGCTCCCATCTCCCTGATCCCTGTACCACTTCCTCTCTGTGCCCCTGTCTGTCCTCGCAGCCTCTCTCTTCTGTATCTCTGTCTCTGTCCTGTCCTCTCCCCCTCTATCTCTGCCTCTATCACTTTGCCCTGGTGGTGCTGGTGAGGAGAGTGTGTGTGCCCTGCATGCAGAGTGGCCAGCACTCACGTGGAGCTGCCCTAGTGGCCACCATCTGATAGAGGACCACAGGCTGGCTTCAGTCCCTCTCAGGAGTTTGTCCTCATGGGCCTGAGCACTCTGGGACACTGTGGCCCACTGCCCTGAGGACACAGGTCCTCCATAGCTGGGTACTTGGCACGAGTCCTAGAGCAGCACCCACCACAGATGCCAACCAATGGCCCCTCCACCAGGAGGCACCACAGCAGCCCAGACCTGTGCAGAGACACTGCACAGCACCTAACCCCACCCCGCCCACATGCCACCCCACAGCTTCAGCAGCTGGCCTCGAGGGTCATCCAGGATGTGGACTTCCCCAAGCCACACCCAGTGTCCAGTCCTCCTGGTCCACAGCATCCAATACCCATGCCACCTGCTCCAGGCCTTCCTCCTGGCGACCTCGTCCTGCACCCAGGCAGCCTGAGCCTTTTCAGCCCATGCAAACCCAGCCACGTGGGGCGGAGCTCACCCCAGCAGTCCTGGATGACTCCATACTGGAGGGGGCCAGTCTCTTTCTGTCCACATCACCATACCTCTCGACTATTCCTGGCAGGATTCCCTTTGATGAAGCCCCTCCTGGCCATTCCACCTGCAAGCTCCCCTACCCAATGTCCACACTCTTACTCTGTTTCAGCACTCGTCACCAAAGGCACTGTAAAAATCCAGGCAGGTGGCACAAGTCCATCATCCCAGCACTGTAGGAGGCTGAGGCAGGAGGATAACACTTTCAAGCCCAGCCTCTATAATTTAGTGATTTAGTGAGACCATGACTCTAAAAATTAAAAGGAGAGGGCAGTCTGGGGACACAGCTGAGTGCAAAGGCCCAGGCTCCATCCCTAGTACCGAAAAGTCTTCACAAATTCTGCTTGTTTGCCACCTCTCCTCGTCTGAGAACGTCGCCCCAGGAGGCATGGTATCCAGGCTGCTGCTGCCCATCTGAGGACCTAGGCCAGTAGCATGGAGGGCTGCTGACCATGCTCACAATGACCGCAGCATTTTTCTGCTTCAAACAAAGGCTGCTCCCTTCCTGAAGCCGCCTTAAAGCTTCAAGAGATCAAAATGGCGATCAAGGTGGCACATCCACGGCTGGAGTGACGCCTCTCTCTCTCCTTCTCTTCTGATGGAATGACGCCTCTGGGGAAAGGCACTAGCTAAGGCTACCACCCACCATGCACATGGAGCCTCTGCAGAAGCTTCTCAGGCAGGAAGGAGTCAGGCACCCAGCATCAACCATGGGCACAGCCCTCCCTCCCTAACCATTCATCTAAAATGGGTCCCCACCCAGGCCCACAGGACCAGAGGCGCTCGACCACCTGGCACCGCTGCCTGCCAGGACACCTCCTCCTGCAGCCAGGATCACAGTGGAAGCGGCACATCAGGGAAACTATAAACCTCGCCACCTCCCAACACCACCTGTGATTAGCTCCCAGTCTCTGACACAGCCCTGAACCTCTCATTCTTTCCTATATAGTCACCAGTGCCATGCAAGTCTCAACGCTGCTGCAGGCCCGACGCCTGCTGGCCAAGCTCCCCACCTCCCAGCTGGGCCCCACCACTATGGAGAGTCGGCAAGTTCCTCTGCACTGGAGAGCAGCCCCACCGTGTGTCCCATGTATCAAGAGCGTCTCAAGCCTGACAGAGCCACCTCGCCCTGCAGAAGTGCTTCTGCTGCCAGCTAAACTCAGGCCCACCTGAGCCACTCCACCAGCCCCATAGACACAGTGAGTCCAGTGCTGGAGAGCAAAGCCCAAATCAACTTCCTTATCACTTTCGCAACAAAAGGAATGGCCAGAGCCACACAGAGCCCTTCAACGGAGAAAAGAGGCTGGCCTGGCCCACATGGACCCACTGCAAGGCTCAGTGCCACCTGCCAGCCTATATACACAGGGAAATACAGACCCAGAGTGCCCGCAGGAGCCCCAGGCCTCTGAGGTGCCAGGGCCATTGGCCCCAGAAGCCCTGGCTCCTGGCTGTTGTAGGGACTCCTTAGCATCTCAAGCTAGTTTGGAGGGCTGCCCCTGGTCTGAGCAGGGGACCAGCTCACCACTTGGACATACTAGAAGCCAAATGCACATCCTCTCCAAAACTAGTCTTCACCTCAGCTCTGCTCCTCCACCCCAGGGGGCACAAAGCCTCAGCCATTCCCAGCCATTTAAATCCACTTCCTCATGTTCCTCAAAATCAGAAGCCAACCTGAAATTAGCACCCTGTTTTTCTTTCAAAAAAAAGCAAAAATTAAAACATCAAGTGTTTCCAGCACATTTTTAACAAAATGAAAGTCCCAGGCTGGAAGTTCCTCTCAGGGGTAGAGTGCTTGCCTTTGCACCACAACAGTTGCTTCCTTAGCTACACAGGTCCACAGGTGAACAATTTTACATACATAACAAGCAGCACAAAGCATGTAACTGACTTACAGTGTAAAATGTACAACTCACATTTCAACACAGAAAGTACACACACATGTGGAGATGTAAGAGGCATGTATTTAAAATGCCCTGGTCAGCTCTCAGTCACCCACACAGCAATTCAGTGACCCGGGTATTCCTGTGCCTCTCCGTGAACATCCATGCTGCCTCTGGAAGAATGAGGGCCTATGTCCCAACACCATCCCAATACCATCCCACATGGCCACTGACAGGTGCCACAGAGGTCCAGCCCAAGCCCTCTCTGAACGCTGAAGTTCTCCCAGACCACAGCGCCAGGCAGGCCACCTGGCCTTGCCTTCCCACTGCACAGCTCTCACTCTGCCTCCACCTGCCACCCTGTGAAGGAGGCAGGAGTGAGCATAACTCGCTCTGAGCCTCTGCAGATGAAGTCCTGCATGGCCTCCAGCCCAGGCCGTGCCATGGCAGGACGGACAACATGCCCAGGGGCTCCAGCCCTACACTGGATGTTTCCAGGCTGTCACTCCAGGATCATGGAACTGTACTTTTTTGTTTCATTTTAAGTACGCATAACACTCTGTCCAAGAAGCATTCACAGTGTTCCTGTAGCTGCTTCTCGGCTAGGACAGTCACTCCCACCCACTGGGCAGACCCTACACCAGTCCTGTGGCAGACACAGCACCGTGCCTGCCCCATGAGAGAACCACTGGAAACGCCAGCAGGTCTGAATAGCAAGGCCATAAACCACAAATCAAGAAAGTGGAGGACCAGCTTTGACAAGATAATGGGCTATCTAGCCTGGGGATGAGCTCAGCAACGGAGCACTTCCCAGCACAAGTGTGGCCCAGAGCTTCATCTCTAGCACTAAAGGAAAAAAAAAGCTATTTTATAAAACTCTGAATTTTACCTCTTGCTCATTGTCCAGGCCTCCTCCAACAATAACTGCTCTGTATGGAGACTGCTCCACTGGGAACAGCACTGATACAAGTGACTCTTTGACCCAAAGTGTCCACCCAGTGTCACGTCCACACTGGCACTGGAGTTGATCGAACTTTCTAATAACAGCCATGTTCTGTAAAACGTGCTCAGAGTACATTTTAAACAATATGCCAGCAGCAGCTGAGTGTAATCCCAGCACTTTAGGAGGCTGAGACAAGAAGATCCAGCGTTTGAGCCCAGCTAGCTTAATTTATGGACACTCAGTCTCAAAATAAAAACGTTGAAAGGGCTAGGTTCAACCCCCAGTACCGGCCCACCCCCCAGGACAATCCAGCAGTGAAAATGTTATCCCCGGGATGCACCCAGGAGCTCTCTAGCAGCAGCCTTTCCACCAGGGCCACAAGGCTAGCTGTCCCCAAGCCACCGCAGGAGCAACGCCCTCTGCTCCTGAGTTCCTCAAGAGTCCACCTCCAGGAAAGCGGGAGGAGGGGGGATGGCGCACCCGTGGGGAGCCGACATCCTGCTTAGGACTGGACTCAGACTTTACACACCAGTCCCAGGGTCCCGCGCAGGCACAGCGGAGCCTGCTGATGGCCCCAGATTGCCGCGAGCAAGGCGGACTGAGGTACAGGGGAGGCTCCAGCAGGCCCCTTCCATCCGCCCGCTTTCCACACCAACGCCAAAGCCGAGCTGATCTTCCGGGACGACTCTGGCCCAGAGCGCGCTGACCCAGCTCCCCCCACTCCCAGGGCCTAAGGCGGCGGCGCACTGCTTTGCTGCTTTGCACACCAGGGGCAAACCCCCCGCAGGGTCCGGCGGGGGGGGGCAGAATATGGCTGTGGGCGGGCCGTGAGAGGGCCATTGCTTTCTCTCTACACTGAGACACACTCTTTGGAGTTGGGGACCCCTTCTGAGGGTGGGGGTGCTGTACGCTGCCCTATCTGTACACAGGGATCCCGGCTAGGAATGAGTGGACACTCGGCAGGGTGAAGGGACACCATACTGGGAACTGCCCGCTTGCACTGGGGGATATCGCTGAGGTTGGGATACACTCACCCGGGTGTGGGGCCGCCCGCGGACGTCTCTGTCGCTGCCCCCAGGTGTGCTTCTCGATCTTGGGGACAGTGCAATTTATAAAGCAAACACGAACGCCCGCTAGCCGCAGCCCGGGAGCACCAGGAGTCGCCACACTCACCGTGCACCCCGCGTCGCGTCGCGTCTGGTTCTCCCGCTGTCCCGCGCCAGCTCCCCCACCGACGGCGCGGCCCCAGCCCCGCCCAGCCGGGTGGCGGTCACGCCCATACGCTGTCATTGGCCGTTCTAGTCAGTGCCAGGCGTCCATTGGCCCGTGCACCTGCCCGCCTCTCACTAGGCCCGGCCCACGCGCCCGCGCATTCCTGTGAGGCCACGTGGCCACCCGCGCGCCCCCCAGCCCAACGCCCGTCCGGCTGCGCACGCGTGGGAGGGGGCATCGCGGAGCAGAGAAACGAGTGGGATAGGGATACATCCCGCCAACTCCTGAGCGGTCTGCCGCTGGCCTTTCGCCAATTGAGCCCTAGGCGTGGGAGGGGTCGCACAAAACGTCGGCCCAGACGGGTTGGCTTTCACCCTAATGCCGCTGAGCAAGGCAAGAAGTGTTGTGAACCTCACCCGGAGCCAGCTGAGTCTGGGGCTGCATGCTCTTGAGTGGTGGTGAACAGGGCTGCCATGGGGCCTGGGTCCCCGCTGAGCCCATCCACGCGTGGGACCTGAGGCCCCAAAGCGGCCACGCTGCATGGACCTGCTGTGAAAAGTTGTGCAGTTGCCCTCCCCTCGGGAGAAGTTGCTTTACTACTTTAAAAAGAAAGCGATTATCGTAACTCCTACTTCAGGAAGGAACAAAGACCAAAACATTCTTAATGAAAGGTCCACTAAGGACTGCCAGATGCTCAGCTGGCCTAGGCGATCAGCAAATGTGTCCAGAGTGCAGGTCCTAGTGCTTTATCTCATGAGACAGAAAGCCAGTGCAGTGGGAAAATCAGATCTGCCAGACTCGCCTCTGGGGCCTTGCACTCACTCAGGGAAGTGCCCAGAGCTGGTAACATACTGAATGTCTCAACGTTAATTTGAATCTAAGTGCCCTTAATCCTCTGGTGCTGTGAAAGTTACACTTGTAAAAACCTCGTCTGTCTCCAAACTATAGGATAGCCTATAGGCTATTAGAATGAGGCAGGGTTGAAGGGAGGTTAGGGAGATGGGGGAAAAAAACAAGTTGTATCATATACAGGTACAAATTCTCTATGATGAATGTGATCATTATATATACCTAAAATGTACCAATAAAATCTGATTGGAAAAGATTAAGAAAAAAGAAGAATGCTTGGGAATCAAATCATGGGTGACTTTTTCTTTTTGGTGCTGGCACTGGAACTCAGGACCTTGTGCTTGCCAAGCAGACACTGTACCACTAAGCTGTATCCCTGACCCCAATAATGGGTGATCTTATTAGTAACATTTGTTAATTTTGTAGCAATGGACAAGTTACTTCTAAATACTGGTTGGACCTATCTTACAGCACACTGAGAATACCTCAGTAGGAATGGATTGAAAAAGTTATCTCCTTCTCAGCACCTGAGATTAGAAAACTTATTCCTGTGTTCTGTTCCCAGGGTTGTTTGAGTACCTTATCCAAGGCCTTCTGCATGGATGATGAACAGTTCTGGTCACCGAGCTGACATGGTCAGCAGCGCTAGTGCTGCCCACCTGATCCTATGTCTTCTGACCAAGGAGAGCAGACACCAGAAGGAAGGGCACTGTGTGTGGAACGAACCCCAGGCCTCAGGGCCAGGAGCCACATGCTGTGTAGGGCTGGGGCAGATCAGCCTCTTGGGATGCATTCTGGACGTCTGCTCTGGGACTCTGCAGACCAATACCTCTTTGCCATCCCTGAAATGGGAAAGTTGGGATTTTCCATTATGATTCTGTCTCCAGCTTATAGGCTATTAGGGAACTAATTTTCATTATCAAATATTTCGGGATTTTCCACTTTTGTTTTCATAACAAATTTAGTTCCACTGCGGCCTAAGAATATGCTTTCTATGATTTCCAGCCTTTTAAAATCCATTAAGACTCACTTGTCTAGGCAATCGGTCTCTGATTACAGGTTGGTCCTGCCCAGAGGTCATGGGCATCACCGACTGTTTTATGTGCTGGCTTAAGAGACACTGAGAGTGTTTACAACCTCTCGCTGTCCTTGCTTGCCAGCACCTGCCACACATCTAATCAAGCTGCAAAGCAAGAGAAACAACATGTGAGAACCAAGAGGTAGAAATGGATTATTCACAGAAATCCAAAGTCATCTACAAGTAAACTATTAGAATTAAAAACAGAATTCAGGAGTTTTAGATGGGTTATAGTCAGAATTGGCAAAAGTGAACAATAAAAGTTTTGGAAGAAAACATAAAGATCATACTAATTTTCAGATAGGCCACAAAACACATGGACAGTTTGGAGATGATTTCATGTCCTTCATCGAAAGCTCCACAAGCAGCAAGCATCGTAGGGAGCGGGATCGGTCCTGGTGCAGCTTCTCAGGCCGGCAGTGGGCAGTGCCCGAGAGCCCTTCTCAGCAGTCACCTCTCGGAGGAGGCAGGACCTCCTGGAGGACAACTGGAGACCTCCTCACTGGTAACAATCCCAGCAGTGAGGCTGGCTCATCACACGTGAAGGCCTTAGGAGTGGTGGTGCAGCTCAGGGTCACACTGTGAACCATGACAGTGGGTCCCAACGCCTGTGTGCAGAGGGCGTGTGGCAGCATGTATGTGGCAGATGAAATCCCAAGGTGAGCCACACTGACTATGGCCACAGGAACTGAACAGGATTTGCTTCAGGGGAACGACAGAAATGGCGAGAAACAGCCTAAGAGGGTGAGAAGAATGACTTGGGATGCTGAACAGAAGGGCAAGGTACTTTACCCGGCAGGTGATATCGCTGGGGTCTGAACTTGTCTCCTAACATGCATAGGGACAGAGTCCTGACATCGGAGCTTCAAAAGGGAGAGTTTACTTGGCTCATGGTTTCAGGCTCCACAACAGAGACAATGTAGCATGAGGGTGGTGGGAACAAGCCCAGGGCCCAGAAGGGGAGAGGTGTGAGATGGGAGGAGCCAGGGAAAAAAAACACACTGGAGGGGTGCCCCCATCTCCCAACACTGCATTCAGCTGTGACCTCACCAATGGATGAGTCCACTGATTAGTAAGCCCACGATCAACAACTGCCCCACCTCTGCACACGTGAGACTTTTGGGATGCATTTTATCTAAACCATTAACAGGTGCAATGGTTGTTAGGAGGAGATGTCAGCTGGGCATGATGGTGCACAACTATAATCCCAGCACTCCAGGAGGCTGAGGCAGGAAGATGGCAAACTTGGGCCCAACCTGAGCAACTTAGCAAGACCCTGTCTCAAAATATAAAGAGGAATGGGCAGGTAGCTAAGTGCAAAGGTCTTGGGTTCATTCCTTAGTGCCACAAAATAGAGGCAGTGTTCTGAGGGCGCTCCCCTCATGAGGGACCCCTCTCCAGGTAAGATTCATACCCCACATTCAGTGAGCACCCCACACTTTCTTGGCCTGTGGCCTTCTGTCCCTCCTGCCAAGGACACAGTCCTCAATGTGCCTCCTGGAGGCAAAAGGACCTCCCAGGATACAGCCCCCAGGGCTTCCCAGACTGTGGGAAGCCAGAATCTGCTCTGGCCCCATGTGAGGAGAAGACAGAGGCGGCTAAATATCAATGGACAAAGGTTTCTGTGTAGGGCTGGCAGCATTCTAGGCATAACGCTTTTCTTTCTAATTGCATGTAAAATGCCCCTTCATTGCTATAACCTCTGTGAGCAGTGGGGAGGAGTCAGGGTGACCAGGAGGCAGGCAGGCAGGCGCAGGACCAACATCTGGCTCTGGGTACCCTCCTGGGCATGGCCCCGGGGAGGGACTCACCTGTCCAGTGCCTGGGTGTATCCGAGCCTGTGCCCAGCCCTGTTTCGCGGCTAGTGCCTGGGACAAAAGGTGTGCAGCACTGGCAGCAGGCTATCCAGGGAGGGAACGGGGTGCAGTGGAGCTGAGAGAGCACAAGGCTGCAGATGCTCAGCCTCCCCTCCCCCCAGGCTTCACATGCAACGTGAGGAATGAAGCAGCGGCAATGGTGTCAGCTAGAAAGCAGCACCCAGGCGAGCAGGTTCACTGGTGTGGGAGGGATGTTCAGACTTCAGAGCTCACCAGCTGCCCTCGCCAGTGATGCCCTTCTGTTGGTGCCCCTGGCTAGAGCTGTTGGACAGAGAAATTATGAGCAGCCCAGCCACACCAAGCCAGGCCCTGAGAGATAGGCAGGGCAGAAGGTGACCAGGCCATGTCCAGGCCTCACTCTCATGGCTCCAGGGTTGGAGAATGACCAGCAGCTTCCCCTGCAGGTGATGTCCTGGGGACACTCTAAGCAGTCTGGGCGTCGTGGTGAAGCCATAGGTCCCTGGAATGCCAGGGTACCCACCCCACGTGCTCCTGCCCCTGCTGACAACCACACAGCCCAATCCACTGCCTCCCTCCTAGGCCCTCAGCACAGGTAGGAAAATTCTGTGGGCGCAGTGAGAGTGTGGCCAAAGGGGCAGGAGTGACCTCCCAGTTCTCTCAGGCTGAGCACCTCTCCACATCCAGCCTGGTCCGCTGGTCCCGGGGACTGGCCTGGCACAGGAACCCAGCCTCCCCCTTCGCTGGCAGCAGCCCAGATTAGCACATCTAGTTTCACAGAGGCCTTCTGGAGGAGCTCTGGCCTCCCCCAGCTCCCATCCTCACCCATGTCGGCTACAGCCCCCAACCATGTCTGGGGACCCTGTTCCTCAACATTGTCCCCAGGCCCCTTTGATGGGTGGAGCCCAAAGAGAACAGTGGGGCAGGTAAAAATATAAGGAAGGGAGAGGTGGCCTGGGTCTCTGCAGAGACAAGGCCAGGCTCCCTGCTGGTCTCTGGAAGGACCCTATAATCTGGTGGGAGAAGGGTGTGCTGTCTAGGAGGAACAGCAAAGTTTTGTTTCCAGACTTCTGGCACAGGCTGACCCTGTTTGCCACTGTGGAGGACAGTGAAGGGCAGGACGCTGGAGGAAAGCAGCTCTGGACGGCTGGGCACACCTGCAGGCAGAGAGGAGGGAGGGCTTCCTCCCAGGGCACTGGCCAGGGCCAAGACTTTAACCCCAAGGCCACTCCTGTCCACTCAGC